ATTCTTGAGATTAGTTGGGAGGTTTTTCCAAATAACTGGTCCAATGTAAAAAATTGAATTTTGAGTTGTTGATTTGCGGTTTAAAGGAAGGTGGATATTTTGAGCATTTCTAATATTGTAATTATGAATGGAACAATTCAAAGTAAATAATCATCATAAATCTTTGCAAGAAGTTTATTAGACAGATGAAACATGAATATTGCAGTATTTAAGGTTAATAAATCATGGCTAGGTAGAACTTGCATTTTTTTTTCAATAATGGTAGAGTGTGAGATAAAGCGAATCCCACGTTTCTGTAATTTATAAATTCGTTCAATATTTCTTTTAGAAGTGAAACCCCAAACAATATTACAATGATTTAAATGGGAAGAAATGATGGCATGATATAACATTTTCAAAACAGTCTGAGGTAAGAAATTCAATCTGAATAAGACCAATATTTTTAGATAAAGTATTACAAAGATAATTTATATGGTGGTTCCACGATAGCTTTTCATCTACAACTACTCCTAAAACCGTTGTACTTAATACCCGAGTTATCTTTTTATTTGAATAGAACAAATTTAAATCCTTTGGAATTTCGGTTTTAGTTCCAAACATAATATAATTATTTTTATTAGTATTTAATATTAACTCATTGGATTTCATCCACTTACTTAAATTGCTTAATTGAGTATTTATGAAATGAAATAAAGTTGTAGGATCACGACCTTTACAGAATACACTGGTATCGTCTGCAAATAAAATGTAACGTAAATTCTGGGTTGAACATGGCATTTCATTAATATAAATCAAAAACAAAAGGGGGGCGAGAATAGATCCTTGAGGAATCCCGCAACCTATTGCTTTAACTTTGGATTCAGCCCCATTAATTAGTTTATTCCTTGTGTGTATCGATTGTAGAATTGCTTTTGTTATCCATGGCATTTTACAACGCTCATTTTTCTTGTTCACAGACACTAGAGGAAAATTTTTGTCATAATATATCTGTAATTGAGTATTAAAAGTTTCGTATGCAATATCTGCATTTGATTCATTAAAGACTTCCAACCATTCTTCTGTTGCTAGATCACTTTTGAATGATTCAATATTTTGGGGTATTTCTTTCCTGTACATGTTTGATTTAGCTGACTTTTTTCATTGTGATTTCATTATTACACATTCAAAAATTGGCAAATGATCCGATATATCAGAATATTAATCCACTGGTAAATATTTCTATAAGGGTCTAAGATTAACCGTCAATTCTAGTTTGTTTATTTATATGTGGATAACAACTATTAGAATAGGTAATGTGAAGAAGTGTATCATGCTGGCTACTATGAGATAAAATGTCAATGTTTAAGTCGCCCATTAAATATAAGTGTTTACCTTCCCCTGTAAAAGTGTGAAGGCATTTATCTAGATCTTCACTAAATAAATTTGTATTACTTTGAGGGGGTTTATAGATTAACCCGACGATTATTATTATTTATTTTTTTGGATTAATGATTTCTAAGAATAATGATTCACTTTGTTTTTAACGATATTTTTTTTTCGGATTTTATTTTAAATGTTCATTTACATAAAACGGAACACCCCCTCCTCTTTTTTCCTCGCGATCTAGTCTAATCGATGTATAATTTTGCAAGTTAAATAAATTAGGTTAAGTGTAATATAAAGCCAAGTTTCAGTGACACCAATAATAGAAAAGCGAAAATTATTTAGAGTATGCAGCAATATTTGCAGAGAGTCAATTTTTTTGCTTAAATTGCTAGCATTTATGTGAAGTAAACTAAATTTATGTTGTGTTTTTTGAAAACTTGAAGTAAATTCATCAGTTGTGTAATAGTTACCTTGTTTGTATTCAAAATGGATAACAGGTCTAAATCATTATCCATGAACATTGAGTGTTATTACCAATTTATTTTGATTAAAGGTATAATAACTGGTTTGCATGTAAAGATTCTGTGTCGTACTAGTATGAGGGTGGGAGTGATTATGGGATGAAAAGAGAATAGAATGAAGAGATAATGATAAGTGAACATACGCCCTCTTTTGGAGTATTCATCTCCCCTTAAATATCCAAGCATCACTGCAAACCAGTACAATGAAATTGAGAGAATCCAGAAACATGTTTGCCGCATCATTATGAAGGACCATTTTATCTCTTACGACCATGCTCTAGAGCACCTCTCTATCTGCCGTATGTCGGAGCGGCATGAACAGCTAATGGATTCCTTTGCTCGTAGTCTGTTGAAATCTCCCCGGCACCGGGATCTTCTCCCTCCCTTACGTAGTGATATCTCCTCTCGTCGCCTACGCTCTTCACATCTTCTCAACACCCCCCTCTGTCGGACTACCCGGTATTATTCCTCAACGATACCCACTATTGTTAGACTGCTTAATTCACCTTGAATCTTTGAACTAAAAATAACAAAGATCGAGCCGAAAAAACAGTGGCTTTGTTTATATTTCCACATGCATTTGCATCTACTGATTGCTACTTTCGTATCTCTTCTTCTATGTGCAATATCAATCAATAATAGATCCTGATAATTATTTTTCCAATCAATGTGAAATAACCTATTTACTTGTTAATATCTATCTTTGTCGATGTCAACATTATATCTTTATCATCACTATATTTAATGCATTCAAGGTTTCTTCACTTTATACTCTATGATGTAAGATTAATTTGCCAATTCAGATCAGGAACATCACCTTTTTAACCAACATTGAAACTTAGCTTTAATATATTATCTCTTATCGTATTTTATCTGTATAAACATATAAATGTTATCCCACCTACGTATCACTGTCGCAATAAACCTATAAATTGTTAATTATCAAATTTTTATTTCATGTAAAAGGAATGACAATTTTACATCGTCAATGAAACCTGTAAATCGTATTCAAATATACACAATATTTGTTAAATGTTCTATATATTTTAATGTGTTATCAATGCAATGTTATGCCATGTACTTTTTACTCTGTAAATTGAACAATTTCAGCTTTTAGCTGCATGTCCGATGATTTTGATCTCAATAAACCAATACAATACAATACATGAAATGCATGAAACAAGAATGAATGATGATGAGATCCTAAAGCATTTACTAAATTATTGATAGATAAAGCCTGAGACATTTGATATGGGCTCATGTATGATGTTTTGTATGACATTTATATTTTTTATTATATTATATTATGGTGAAGACGTCTAGTCGATGTTCTAGTTAAATAATTTAGATATCAGACCTGACGTTCCAACAGTCACTTAATTGACGCTCTGAGTCCCAAGCCATAAAACCGAATTGAGCAATATATATTCTTTTGGCAGATAGGGGACCAAGAGGGTTAAAGAGAAGATTCATGTGATTTGGTTGCCTGTAACTAGGGGCATTCTTGTTACTAGGGGCCTCTAATATCAGCTAGTACATACAAAGTAATGATAATTGATATAGAAAATGCCACATGCTCTGGTATGTACTAAGCTGTATATATATATATAATGAGTTGTAATGTACTGAGGCTAAATTTTTCCTGAAGGCCTTGTTTAAAGCTGCACACATGATTATTCTCCTTTTGTGCTCTTTTTTTGTACAATCAACTGCATTCCATTTTAGTATATTATGTATACTAGGTTCACAATCAGGGAGTTAAGTGGTGCTTATTTTACCTGACTGCTAAGAAAGGACAAATGCTTGTTAGTAAGCAACCAGAGTACCGGCGGCTTTAGGTCCTCTCCGATGGACCTGGTAATGAGGATTAATGCCTTACCAAAAGGCACTAGCGCATCGACTTGGTTTCGAACCCGAGTCGCCGGATTACAAGACCACTGCGCTACCAACTGAGCTATCGAGCCTCCTCATTGAGACAGCATAGATTGGACAATTAATTGGTATTTAATTTTGACAAACTTTCTCTATGCCCCTCTATACGCCATCCATGATTTTGGCATCACGTTTAGCTACGTCAAGCTGTGTAGGACAAGTGATCATTTTCTTAAGGGACTTCAACCTTCAGGTCTGGGACACTGCCACCGCCCCCTCCCAACCCCCTACCCCTTCTCTCCCTCTCTCCACTACCCCTTCTCTCCCTATCTCCACTCCCCCTCTCCCACTCTCTCTACGCCCCTCCATGCCCTCCATCATCTATATATCACATTTCCTACTTAAAGTTCAACCCCTTCTCTCTCTCTCTCTCTCTCTCTCTCTATCTCTCCCTTCCCCCTCTCTCTCTCTCTCTTTCCTCTCTCTCTCTCTCTTTCTCTCCTCTCCCTCTCCCTCTCATTCCCTCCCTGTTTGTCCCCTCCCACTCTCTCTTTATGCTCTTCCATTATCCATGGGTCACTTGATTATTAAACACGGTCAAACCTGAGTATAAAAACCGCTCAATTGACACAAGGAGAGTGACCATTATTAGCAGGTGGTCTTTATGAGCAGGAGGTTTCTAGTACAGCTATTTTTCAATGTGAAGCGACGTTCAGTGGTAACAGAAAAATCTATAAGCAGCTGGTCTTGTTAAACTGGTGTTACCCGAAACAGGGTTGACTGTATTAAGGAAAATGTTTAAAATGAACCATTTGCCGTAATGCGAATTCCCATTCCCGTCGCTCCTACCCCCCCCTCTTCCTTGATCTCCGCCCCCACCATAGAGAGCAAGCTTTTTTTTTTTGGGGGGGGGGGGGTTGAAGGAAAATCCAACCCATATTGCAAACTTCATTTCACAAAATCAGAAAAATCAGAAAACAAAACATGAAAATATCGGAGAATTCGGAAAGAAAAATATGGAAGTTTTTTTTTTTTTTTTTTTAAACTATTGTATGCCTTTGGGAATTATAAATTGACTAAGCAATTTGATTTAGTGCCGGACAACTTGCCCATTTTTTTGTTGTACAATGGGAACACCTTTGTTTTAACTGTTTTGGGTTGAAGGAATATCCAACCCTAATGGCAAACTTCGTTAAAAAAGTCATAAAAATCAGAAAACCAAACATGAACACGTTAGGGAAGTCGGACAGAAAAAAGGATGTTTTTATTTTTTCACTATTGTAAGCCTATGAGAATTACGGATTGGCTGAATCAGCAGTGTCACTTTGATGTAATGCCGGACAACTTTTTCATATGTTCCAACACACAAAATGACTAAAATTTCATTTTTCCCCCAAATGAATGACTCGGGTTTTTTTCCATTTCGCCATTCAGTTTGCGTTATCTTTTCTGCTTTCATACAAATAAAATTATTGCAATGGTTGGATTACCCTTCAATGGTAATCAGATATGTCATTTTGCATTTTTAATCCGCAATTCCACCGAGAATCAAGAGTCAACAAATTGGTTAAACCGACTTCCCTGTTCGTAACAACCATTAATTGGTAAAACGACACAATACAATATCTAAGGAAGTAAAACAAGGTAGAAGTAATTGATATGTTTAATTAAAAGAAAAGTATAAAAAGGGTGAAAAATGTATTGACTAGAGAAACTCTGAGTCAATATAAACAAAAACCTACCCTCAACGTTTACTATTAAAACACAACGAGGAATGATCTATTCATAGTTAATATTGAACTTTAAACCAACATAGTTAAAAGAATTGTTAAGAAACAAACATGCATTGAAAAGGTCATTTAGCGGGAAATGCTGTTTTGACAGATGTATTTTTAATATAATATTTTCACCCTTCCCTATTATTCCTTAGCACTACATGTTATGTTATCATACTGAACGTTACGTCTATTGAGAGCTGGAAGACCGTTATCTAATTAACTTTTAAGCCCAGCGCGCACTACACGATTTTCCTGTGATCCGATTTACGTAGTAAAGGCGGTTGTATTATGATATGGAAAAAGCAAGTACTATCCTCTTGATTTAGGTTTTGAATAACGATAAGAATATTAACAACTGCAACTTTAGTGCATTAGTCTCTTCTAGTTAGAATAAAAGCCGAATCTGCTTTAAATCGTATACAATCGTACAACTGGCTTGACGTCACTACGATTCTATGTCGATTCAGGGTTTTCCCCTCCTTAAGGGAGCATGAAATCTCTCCCTAACAAACAAAATTTTCTTAAGAAAAAGAAGCCCAAATACTCTTTCCCCTGATTCATGATTACATTTGCCAAATAGCATTCCGGGGTACAAAATGTCAAATAATCACATGAACCTACATTTATGATAATCCTTATTATTTACATGCTTTTCTTACTTTAGTTTCAGGTATAAATGACATTTTATAAAATTTTGTTCATTTTAGCAAGGATTGCGAAGAGAAATCTAGATTTCTAATTGTATAGCTGATTGCTTCCAATCATATTCTTGAACTTGTTTACTTGAACTTGTTTCTGAAGATAATCCCTTTTAAAACAAAGCACAATTGCAAAGACCTTCAAGAAATTAACTCAAGAGCAATATTATTTGAAATCATTGTCTTACATTCTCCATCTTTGAATTACTATATTTTCCCAGAAATCATCTGAAGAATCTATGCCAACGTTTTGGGGTTTGACTTCTCCTTTTATTGGAAGAAGAACATTGAAAGCACATAAGAAATGTCTATTGTTAAAATACAAAACAGTATGCAGATGTTTAAAAATCAATCTATTATAGAAAGAGTATGACATTATTTACAAGCACTTATTCTGCATAAGTGTATAACTGATCTACTGTTGTACATTTTCTCTTTCATTTTTTAAATGGAATAGAAACTGAATAAGAGATGTAGATTATGCATTACAAAATTAACAAAACACACAACTTTAAGAGGTTCACGATCGCAAAGACTTTAAAGAAATTATTCGAATAGCAAATTCAAAACCCTACTGTGTATGCCAAAGGAATCATATTCCGATTATTTAGTTCCAGTACATCGTTGCAATGTTCGCAGATTTCAATTGTTGATGGACAAGGCCATGATATTGCCTTTGGATGTTTTCTTAAAAGTTATTACGATCGTCTTAAACACACTTTTGCGAGAAAGACCGAGGATTCGCATCTTTTCACCACAATTCTACGTATACAGAGCATACATATTGCTGTGTATATTTCTCCTATGACCCCGATCACGTGATGTATACTCTGCAGTCTATTGTCTGGAGAGGATGACGGCAGCCAGCATGGCCACGCCCATAGCAACGAAGCTGGTTGTCACGGTGGTACCTCCATTACAGAGGTTGGATTTGCAGCAGTAGGTACAGGCATCGCCTACGCAGGCCTCAGTACAGGCAGTAGCACAAGAACGTATTACTGATGATCCACTAACTGCTTTCTAAATGATAAAAATAATAAAATAAAAAAAATAGTAGTGATGGTGGTAGTAGTAGTGGTAATAGTAGTCATGGTCTTAGTAATAATACGAAAAAATGATGCTAATGATACTACTATCATTACTACTACCACTACTACTACTACTATTAACAATATTAATGATACTGATAACGATAGCAATGATAATAATACTTATAATAGTAATATTAACAAATAAATTAATCACATTGATGATAATCATAACACTTATAATAATAACACTACTTGTAACATTAATTATATCTTGTTTAAAGGAAAATAATGATTATAATATAATAATAAAATTAAATATTATAATACAATGAAAATGCTGAATTTGGGTATATTATTGCATCGTTTCTCAAAAAAAACAAATGGTACTTTTATGTAAATATGTTGCGTCACCTTTCTCACTAGTAAAGCTTGTGCATTTAATTTCAAAAGGATCTCGCACCTTACAAGTCATATCTTATAATTATGATTAAAATAATAATAATTATAATAATAATAATAATAATAATGATAATGATAATATTACAATAATTATCATTATTATAATAATGTATAAAAAAATAATAATAATAACAATGATAATATTACAAATATTAACGATAACAATAAATTTGATGATGAAATTGATATTGATAATGACAATTATGATAATAACAAAAATTGGTGCCATGACAGTTTAATCAAAACATCAAAGTCATATTTCGAATATTCATTTGATATCATTCCTTTTTAGGCGCCATCTTCTTCTATGATATTCCTCCACAGTACCATCGCAAAAATGAGAACGCTCGCAAGTTATGTTTCACCTTTACTTAAATACAATTGTCTTACCAAACAAATGATGTAAGTCATTCTTGTAGATAATTTTCTTAGTTACACCGTATCAAAAGTAGATGTCTTACCACGCAATACTCGTATGTAATCAAACTACTTCCAGGACAAGTGTTCGATACACCTGATGCAGAGGAATCGAAAGGATCAGTACAACCCGAAACTCCACAGACGTAGCACTCAATGGCCCAGGTACCTGTGTTATTAAAGATAATGAACATTATCATACATTTCAAAACGGGTTCTAGAAAATAGGGAATCAAAATGGTCAAATGATGATGCACGGCTAAGGGATGCGTAGATGGGTATCTCTGAGGCGGTCAAAAATAAGTACCAAGTCATTTGATTTTTTTCTTCCCTTTTTAACCCTTTCGGTGAATTTTATTTCACATATCTACAATGCTCACAATGACATAAATACATATAATATTAAATCATAATGTAAGCATATCAATCAAAGCTTTCACCTGTTTTTCATTTATCTTTACTTCCGTTTTAGAAGTTAAATGTGACATTAATTAATACTTCAAATCAGTTTAAAAAGTTCCACCATTCATTTTGCTAGATTTGATAGATTATAATCCTCACTAACAAACGACAATTTTCTTGGGAAAAGGAAGCCCAAATACTCTTTCCACTGATTCATGATTACATTTGCCAGATGACATACCGGGGTAAAAGATGTCAAATAAACACAGAACTCAGTAATGGAGAATTATATTGTTTTTATAATTTCCGCTAACATTTATCCGCTTACAGCCGGTATATATAAAATTGTAACCGAAATGTGAGTTAAGTATAAAAACATTTGTTTCTAAAGCTAACGGATTAGCTGAGTAGGGGAATGGATTATAGTAAATGGGGAAGAGACGAAGGGAATGAGGGAACGGATTAACTAAATAAGGGATGGGCATAAGTAATAAGGGGAGAATTCAAAAGTGAATTATGGAATCAAATAAGGGAATTAGCAAAGGGATCAGAAATGGATTAAGTTAATAAGTGCAGTGATTGGGAAAAGGGATTAAGCAAAGTAAGGAAGGGATTAAATGAATTTGCAAAGGTATTAACTGAAAGAGGATAAAGCGATTAACTAAATAAGGAAATGGATTACGTTAAAGGGAACCAAAACAGTCATACCAAGTTACTTTTATTTTAAATTTTAAGATATTCGAATAAAATCAGTGAAAGTTTGAACAAAATCGGGCAGGGAATAAGGAAGTCGAAGCTTTTTAAAAAAACTTGTCACTAGAGGGCGATATTTAATATGGTGACATCATTTATGGACAACTCTCCATGCCTTTCGTACTTCAAATTTCATGATTTTACCACTTTCTTGTGATTGAGATAATCAACTCCCCTGAAAGCAAGGTACAGAATACAAAATGATATTGTACTTCTCATTTTATGAAGTCGGATCCTGAACATGAATTAATACGAAGAAAATGAAAGAATTGTGAAATTTCATGGTCAGAGGGCATGGAGAGTTGTCCATAAATGATGTCATCAACTTAAATATCGCCCTCCGATGACAAGTTTTTTTCAAAAAGCTTTAAATTCCTTATTCCTTTCCTGAATTCAATTCAATTCAATTCAATTTTATTTCGTAATATAAAAATCAAAATATACAAAGTAACAGTAAATTTTAACTATGTTTACAAAGGTTATATGCGGGGCTTTCCATGAAGGTTGCGAAAACCTGTGAAGTTGGATCGCCCATTAAAGAGTGAAAAACAATACAAAAATAAATATAAAATATTATAAGCACACAACAATAAATTGAGTAAAATAAGCAAAGTACAAACACTAAAACTATATATAAGGCAAGAGAAAGTAAAATAGAGAGAAGGAACAAAATATATGAAGGGGGAAAAGAAAGGAAAAGAAAACAAAATAACAATGAAAGAGGGTTCAGATATAAAAATATAAAAATCAACAACTGTGCTGATTAATAATTATTTAGTTGTCAGATTTTATTTTGTTTTCTGAAGGAAGATATGAATTGTGATTTCGTTTTAACTTGGGGAATCATATTCCACTGTTTAGGACCTAGATGACTCATTGATTTAGCTTCATAACTAGACTTAACAGACCATAAATGAAATTTGTTGGAAAATCGTGTATTATAATTATGAATTTGACTATTATATTAAAAAAGGTCTGAAAAGGGGCAGGTAACAACTTGTTTTTATATTTGTACATGAACATTGCGATTTCTTGCTTATTTATATCATATATATTTAATAACGATAATTCTTAAACAAAGGTGCGGAAGGTGCTAGATAATGAGATTGGATAATGAATTGGTTCAAAATTTTCACTGATTCCATTCAAATTTTCACTGATTCCATTCAAATCTTTTAAACTTTACAATAAAGGTAACTTATTATGAAGGTTTTGGTTCCCCTCAATATGGGCAGTTATTGAAGGAAGCGATCAAGTGAATGAGGTACGGAAATTAAATTTTATAACGGAGCAAGTTAGATTAATAAGGGCAGTGATTAGGTGATAAAAGGGGTGAATAAGCGAACGGATTAGGTGAACGGGTAGTTACTCTAGTTGAAAAGGGAGGTGATATATTTAATAAGGGAATTGATAAATAAGATCAAAGATCAAGTGAATAAGGGAAGGGATAACTAGAAGTAAATAGGCCTTACCTGCGACCATTGAGATCAAAACAGTAACCAAGAATAACTTCATGACTAACTCGTCTGCCTGAACGTATTCTAAAAGATAACACAAAAAGAAATGCAATATATTCGATACTAATAAACGATAATGAAAAGTGCATGTTATTTAGACCTACACCGGATAGCTTATTCTAATGATTTGTCCATTTATATAGAGCAGGGATACAATTGGGTATCGAAATCAAACTTGAAATTGACTTTTCGAATATATTTGTAATAGTATTCCCAATTCAATTTTGATTAAATTCAATGAACATTTTTATCCTTCACAAATAGAAAATGAACATACAATGATGTTAACATTCCTAATTGTATGTAGAAAGGAGGCGAAATTCTCTAAAAGCACACAGCTTGAAAAGGAAGATGTATATATTTAGAATTATCCAAATTGAATTATTTTGTATATACATATATAGATAGATACATAATATATACAATTTCATCACATTTAAGGATTGAGTCTGGTGTCGCCGAATTCACTGGCCTATCTCTGTGCAATTGGGAACTCTTAATTTAACCTACACAACCGTAATTGTCTCGTTCCCTTTCGTATTATATTCATAAATATATGTGTGTGTGTCCTATTCATCATTTGGTCTAATGTTGGTCAAATGACTTTAGACCATATAATAATTACACCAAATAGCAATAGAAAGCAAAGGCTTTAAGGAGTGCTGTGGTATACTTGTGAATGCCCGTAACTTTCATACAAAAGGTTCCGGGTTCGATCCTATTCTTGAACACATTTGTCCCTCTCGACCAGAGAATCCTACATTCACCACTGAAAGTGTGAGTTGCATAAATTTATATTACGCAACTTCTTTTCTTATTCTACAGCTACACTAGTGTTTGCAAACGGAAATTGTAGCTGTTTTAAGTGTAAGATGCCGCCAAATTGATTTAAGCTTATTTTAATCTAAGCGTAAAAGTGAGAAAAGCACATCAGTGAAAGTTTGAGCAAAATCCGATTACACGTAAAAATACAAGTCGTGATTTCTGTATAGAAGTTTGTATGAATTAAAAAGAATTGACAACCCTGAAAAAAACGTCACAGAGTTTCTAATCCAACTTTGAACATTCATAGCTTTTGTTATTATCACATTTTCCTCCCTCAATAATTCGTTTTTTCTATTTATATTCTTGTTACCAATCCAAACAGGATTTCCATGAGCAGTATTATTGTATTGCAATTGCTCTGAGTTGATTGTCTAAAATTTAATAGGGTTTACGTTCAAAATATACACTTCGTTGAACAAACAAACAAAGAACAATTATGATGTGTCGAACTGAGCTTAGTATTAATGTAGATCATGACTTACCAATGAATATATAATGAATCGAGATGTGTTTGCGTGGAGACCCGACTGGGATTGAAATTCCTGCCGAAAAAAGACCTGGTTATCACTGTGGCATCAATCTCGCTAATGAAGTGATACTGGAGATGCATATATCATAAATACAGTACACGCACACACACACAAGTACACACGCACACAAAAACGCGCGCACGTATAACATGTACTTTATCGATAGCATCGTTCAAGAAATATGTTAATTTGTTTGACCTCATTGCGTCACTTTAATTATGCAGATTTATGAACGACGTTACTCGCTCAAAGCGAGAAATTTTAGTTCAAGGAAAATGGGTGAGTATGGTTAATTTGTTTATAAAATATAGATTAATGATTGGGAAATAAATAACCTAGCAGTTTCTTCATCAATGGTATTGATATTCCGGTGAATTGCGGTTTGGTCTACAACCAGTTGGTCTACTACCCAATTAGTCTATTCCCATATGGTCTTCACACACCCGTCTACAATCCACATGGTATAATAATTATTTCGCCTACTTATCATTTTGTCTAATGCCCATTAAGGCTATAATAGTCATTTAGTCTAATTTCCATATTGTGTAATATCCAATTAGTCTAGTACCCATCTAGTCTGTTATTCATTTAGTCTAATAGCCAGCTAGTCTTATTCCCAGTCTGTCAAATACCCACTTCGTTAACCACCCATTAGAGTCTTATAATCATTCGAAGATTATGTTTAAATGATTATTAGACGAGATGGAGATTACACAACATGGGCATTGGACGAACTGGAAATTAGACCAACTGGAAATCAGACTAAATGATCAATAGACCAAATGATAAGTAGACGAACTGTTTAAAAAGACCAAATGACAATAAACCGTTATTAATTATTGCTTAACCACTGCGTGACGTCATCTTTGTATACGTTTTGCTTCATGCAGAGTGCTTGTATATTGCATCCTTAAAGACCCTGTGGAAAGTGAAAATGAAATAGATGAATTTTTTATCAAAGGAAAGCTTACAAGACATAATTTACAATTATACCAATTATATGCTACTTTAGTGACTGTCAGACCAGTAAACAGCTCTTTGAAAACTCGAAATCTAAAGCTTTGAAAATCGGGAGTTGTCGACCTAAAAACTAGCTATCGTATTGATGACATCATCTTATTTATGTGGAGTACGCATATTCACAATGACTTTGCATTAATTAAGCACGGCTCATCGCCTCAGCTATAAAGGCGAGCCGATCGGGTGCACATGATATGTCGTCACTGTAACTGCGGCAAATCTGACCCCTGTTGACCTGTAATTTGGAGACGTGCGGAAAATAAGGTATTAATTCGCTTTTGTGCAATACTGAAAGGGAAAATATTTTGAATTCCTTTACATTTGAATTTTATGTTCATTCAGCTTTCCATTGATAAAAAGCTATATTTTCATCGGATAGGGTCTTTAACATTCATGCATGCATGGCTCCGGAAATGTACTTCCTATAATAACGAGCCGTTTATCCATGCAGAACATCTAATATGCAAGAACTTTTGGAACGAAACGTTAGTACACGCCGCTCTCCCTCTCTCTCTCTCTCTCTCTCTCTTCTTTCTGTCTGTCCCGCTCTCTCTCTATATATATATATATATATCTGGCTGTCTCTCTCTCTCTCTCTGTTTCTCTCTGCCTTCTTTCCTCCTGTCTCATCCCTCTTTCTCCATGCAATTTCATCATTCCCTCCCATATGCCCATTTGCTGGTATAATGGTACACTCTTAGAAAAAGGGTGCAAAAACGGGTGCAAAATAAGATTTTGCACCCTTCCCACAAAATGAACCCTATTGGCCCAAAAAGGGTGCAAAATAAAAGTTTGCATATTGCATGCATATTCATGATTACTTTCCACGTGTTCACATAAAATACATTTATCATGATTTGTTAAGCAAATTATGACAATGCACATCAATTTTGTGATTTGTATTTTCCTTTGGCAATCATTAACCAATAGATTATTTTGTCTGATCATGTTACACTTTACATTCACGTTTTAGCAATAGATATATTGATTATATGATTGTGTACGAGCAAATTTTACCAGTATTCCTCGATGATGGGTGCAGGATTGAACCCCTAAAAGTGCTGCTATTGCATCGGTTTGCACCCCTAATGGAGCAGGATTGAACCATTAAGGGTACTTACATGTCTCCTAAAAGGTGCAATCTGGCACCCTCTTAAAGGGTGCAGGATTGAACCCATAAAAGGGCTGCTAGTGTTTGCATCGGTTTGCACCCATAAGGTGCAGTAATGAACCATAAAGGGTACTATTTCCCCTAAAAGGTTCAATCTGGCACCCTTTTAAAGGGTGCAGGATTGCACCTTTAAAAAAGGTGCAGGATTTAACCCCTAAAGGTGCTGCTATTGTTGCATCGGTTTGCACCCCTAAAGGTGCATACTTGCGCCATTTTTTCTTAGTGTGTATATACCTGTACCTATTACATAACATGACATAACGCTCTATGGCAAACAGCAGGTGCCTGCGAAAGATACCGTTGTTTAAGGCCCGGTCACACAGAGGGGACGCATGGGGAACGCACGGCCAGCGCATTGGAAATTTGCAATTTTGGCCAGTGCGTTGTCGTTCGCTAGGCGTGCGTCATCACTCGTTACTCGTTCGTCGAGCGCGCTGGACCAACGCCGGAAAACGATCTTGAAAGAAAAAGAATGAGCTATAAAAAGTGTGTAATAATCGAGAAATGTATATTGACCATCAATTTAAGTGCAAAAAGTGCTAATTTGAATGCTACAAATGAATTATTATGCTAGAAGTACACCGTCGCGTTGTCAGAAAATCCTGTTGCGCCAAATCGAATGACCAAAATAGCGAAAGAAGCACATGTTTCATTAATTTGAATGAAACATACGTAGTTTCTAACAAAAATTCCATAGATTTGAAAACTAGAAAAGGGAATATAAACCCGAGATATACCTGACTGCACTAAAACCGTCGAATTTGAACGCAAGACAAATTGATTCGAATGACAAACTCGCAAATTTGGCCGGGAAATCCTATAGCATAAAAGTAGCTATATTGTATGCGATGTTCAGATCAGGGCCCCGTCTTATAAAAAGTTGCGATTAATCGCAATCGCAATTTTTTTTGCGATTTATATTAATTGCAACTATATATGTACGTAAGAGATAGGAGACTGCAAGCTTGCGATTGATTAGAGGACTTGCAATTGGTATTGGTATTGGTATTGGTATTTATTTTCCATATCACAATATTAAAAAAACAATACAAAGAAAATGCATGTACATAGTGAAATCGATGGTATAGTGAATGGTTGGATAACCAATTCAGCTTTGTTATTATAACAAAACTGTTCTTCCCTGGGGTCCAGGAAATTAAGATAATAACAGTTATTGTACAACAAAGAGAATAACAATACAACATAAAATAATATAATTTAAATACAAATAAAAACCTAAACCATATTAGAGAAGCATAAACACCCCCCCCCCCCCCATCCCAAGCATAATCCATTACAGATCAGAGCAAAACTGATTTCTTAAATTTAGATTTTTGAGAAAAAAAAGTTTTAAGCTGTTGTATAGCTTAATAGTAAACGGGAGATCATTGTACTCACGTGAGCCTTTATAATAAAACATTTTTCGGCAGCATTCACTCTTTTTATTAAAACCAATATTGTGTGATGCTCATTCTAGATCTTTTAGGATTAATAACAAATCATGTTGAATTAAAGTTGATTTATTATCCAAGGGACCGACAGTTTTAAGTCCTCACATAGAGATTTGGTAATGAAGAGTAATGCCTTTCCAAAGGACATGACGCATTGACTTGGTTTCGAACCCGGGACCTCCCGGTTACGAGACTGCTGCTCTACCACTGGGCCATCGCGCCTCCTCAGCCCACATGCCCTATACCCCTAAATCGCTTGCTTTGCTTCCGTATGTTTCACCTACCCAAAACATGTAAGATAAGATCTACTCGCACCTCCTACCCCCCCCCCCCCCCGACATACAAAAATCCCTGATGGCAATACCCCTAAAGAAACACACAAGCAGCTACGCAACTTATGGTGACTTTCAGCCTATATTCCATGCCACATACTTTGTGAATAAAATCCATCGTTATTACTTTCCTGCACATTTTTGTCTTCTTCTCCTCAGAAAAGACAAATTGATGAAATGTCCTCCTCGAGTTCCAGACAATGCTCACAATGATTCGAACTACATATATACACCATCCCACCCCGAACAAAAATAACTTTTATTTTAAAAAAAAGAAGAAAACATTCACGTGAAAATAGCGCTGCATAGATCGGGAGGTATCAGAAAATAATTGTTTAGGCATGTAACATATTCAGCTTTTCAAGTTTTATTCATTCATATTTATTTTGTTTGAAATTGATGCTGTTTTATGAAATCTATTCCACATAATTGGATGCGAGATGCAAAGCTGCGTTTCTACGCACGTCGAGATTATCCTTACACCATGTAAACAGTGCGATTTTAGAATCAAGAAGCAAATCTCAGTGTGAACACGGCCCTGTGTTGCTTGCAACAACTAACATGGGTTTGTATTTTTCCCCAAAACTGGTCCATTTTGTACAATATGAAATGTTTCGAAAGCAGCATATACTTTCCTCACTGCATTTCGTGTCTATTTGATTTCTTTTAAAAAAAAGATCTAAATCTTCCGGCGATCTAATACAAGTCGAAATCAAAAGTGGTAATAAATAACTTTTAACGCCATTGTGAAGAACCTCGAAAAGTGTATTTTTAGATCTCCTTTTGCGACACCCGCTGCTATTCAAAGCGCAAACTACATATTTGCGTGTACATTACAAACAATAATGATCATAATGTTCTTGTAAGAGGAACAATGGCATCAGTAGAGTTTATTTGCTCTCGCACTCTCTCTCTCTCTCTATCTCTCTCTCTATCTACCTACCTACCTACTGAGATGACAAACCTACTCATGCTATACCAGTCTGATTCAATCTTACACTCCCCCCCCCCCCCCCCCCCCCCTCTCTCTCTCTCTCTCTCTCTCTCCTCTTCTCTCTGTATGCTCTTCTCTATCCCTATTCTTTCTTCATATCTGTTATTAAT